TAAACATCCTTCTGGTATTTTTTTTTGTTTTCAGCCCAGATCCATCTGATGTCAGCAATGATATACCTCTTTCCAAGCCTTCTTATGAATCCAGCTTGATTTTCTGGCAGCTCCTTGTTGATGTGCTGTTGCAACCATTTTTGAATTATCTTCAACAAAACTTATTTGCATGTGATATTGATGATAACTGATAATTTAAATGTTTTGTTTTGGCACCTTTTTATGGAGTGAGTACAAATATAGATCTGTTCCAGTTGGTTGGTGAGGTAGTTGTCTTTCACATTTCTTGGCATAGAGTGAGTGAATGCTTCCAGCGCTGCATCAATTTGTTGAAATTTTAGTTGGCATTCTGTCAATTCCTGGAGTCTTGCTTTCCACTAATGCCGTCAGTGTTTTTTGGATTTCTTAATTCAATACTACTACTTGCTGATTATATGCTACCTTCTAAAATGGCTGAATGTTAACCAGTTCATTTTGGTACAGTGACTCTGTGCATTCCTTTCATCTTCTTTTGATGCTTCTTGTAGTATTCAATATTTTGCCCATAGAATACTTTAATGCTGCAACCTGAGGCTTGATTTTTTTTCTTTAAGTGTTTCAACTTGAGAAATACTGAGAAAGTTCTTCCTTTTTGTTTTTCTAACTCCAGATCTTTGCACTCTGCATTTTCATTGTAACACTACTTTGTATACTGTTTATAATAGTATTCTTAAGGTGTTACTCAAAATTTTATGTGAAGGTCTCCTGATATCCTTTCTGATCTTTTCTTTCCTTTTTTTTTTTTTAAAGTTTTTATTGTGAATTATGTGTTAGTTTACATGGGTGAACCCTATCTTTATATTCATCCTATCATATTTTGTTTCACTGCAAGAATCACAATTCCTTGCATGCATCATCAAACAATCCAAGGGTACACCCCACATGCCTGCCCATGGCCGCCAGCACCCAGACCTCCTCCCTCCCTGAATCCAGAGTCTCAAGCTCCTCTTTCTGTCCATGTTATCGTCTCTGCCTCCATCCCTAGTGTCACTGCCTCCATGGACAGGGGCTTGCACTTCACTTCACTTTTCTCCCTTGATGGTTCCAGGGATCTCCTCTCCTGGACTGCAAAATCATCCACTCCCCTCCTTTTGTTACCAAACATTTACATTTACCTTTCCAACACTCATTGTCAGATCTGATATCAATCATTCCCTATTGAACCACAGGAGTCCTATCCCCCTCACCTTTTATTAACCCCATCCAGACAGGTTGGAAACAATTTAGTGGAGATTCTACTTTTCCCTGTATCCTCTGGAGCTAGGTTCCCTATAGAAAGCTTGTAAGCCAGTCACTTCTTGCCTGTGTCAGTCCCCCATTTTGGGTAGCCAATGTGTCTGTCTTTCCTTTTTTAAAATGACCTTTTTCTTTCTTCATCCATGATGTACTTGCTGTCATTCCACAACTTGTTTAGTTTTCATTCATTAGAGTTCAGTACGTCAAATCTGTTCCTGAAATAGTCTCTGTATTGAGATGTGATATATACAAGATCCTATTTTGGCTCACATGGACTTATTTTAATGTTCTTTCCCCTCAACCTGAACTTGCATATGCACAGTTGATAGTGTGTTACACAGTTGACTCCTGGCCTTGTTTTGGCTGATGATAATGAGTTTCTCCATTGTCTTTTTCCATAAATATAATTGGTTTAATGCCTGTGTATTCCATTTGGTAAGGTTCATATGTATAGTCACCATTAGTGTAGTTGAAAAAAAACTGTATTATATGAAGAAGGAAGTGGCATTAGAATTGGAGGAAAACTCATTAACAACTTTCAATATGCAGATGATACAGCCTTTCTTGCTGGAAACAAAGAGGACTTGAAATACTTACTGAAGAAGATCAAAGACTTCATATGGATAGTACCTCAATGCAAAGAAAACAAAAATTCTCACAACTGTACCAATAAATAAAATCATAATATAAGAGAAAACATATAATACAGTTTTTTTTTGGTTTATTTGTTCAGCACACAAATTGAGTTAAGTATATGAAAGGATATAATCTTGGTGCACACTTTTTCTGCTTTTAAGTCATTCAATATCCTATTGTTCTGTTCAAACAACTGCCTCTTGTTCTATGTAAAGGTTCCTCATGAGCACCATTAAGTGTTCTGGAATACCCATTCTTCACAATGTTATCCATAGTTTGTTATGATACAAACAGTCAGAAGCCTTTGCATAGTCAATAAATCACAAGTAAACATCTTTCTTGTATTCTCTGCTTTCAGACAAGATCCATCTAATATCAGCAATGCCATATCTCATTCCATGCCAACTTCTGAATCTGGCTTGAATTTCTGGCAATTCCCTGTCTGTATTGTTATAGCCATTTTTGAATTATCTTCAGCAAAATTTTACTTGCACATGCTATTAATGATATTGCTTTATGGTTTCTTCATTCTGTTGGGTCACCTTTCTCTTTGAATGGGCACAAATATGTATTGCTTCCAATGGATTGGCCAGGGTGTTAGCTTCCAAATTTCTTATGATAGATGAGTCAGCACCTGCAGCACAACATCAATTTGTTGAAACATTTCAACTGGTATTCTATCAATACCTGAGCCTTGTTTTTCGCCAATGTCTTTAGTACAGCTTGGATGTCTTCCTTGAGAACTATCAATTTTGATCAACCTCCTGAAATGGATGAACATTAACAAATTCTTTTTGGTACAGTGACTCTGTATTCTTTCTATCTTCTTTTGAGTCTTCCTGCATCATTCAATATTTTGCACAAAGTATGACAAACTGACAGATGAGTGGTCACTATAATTCTTTGGTATTATATAGGAACCCTAGAATGTGGCGAGCGTGGGGGAATCTATGGTCCCATGACCTGGTCTCAGACTTTTATTGAACCTGTGTCCCTGGGCTGTTTAGCCTTAGCAAGTGGTTTTCAGTCATTCTCTCCTCCCCTTATGCAAGACAGATGGCTAGATGGGGATTGAATTAAGTATCTGTACTTTCTCAAATTGGTTAAAATTTGAAAAAATGATTTAACTAGAGGTATGGCCTTGTTAAAGGAAGAGAGAACTCTAAAGGTATTTAAAATATGCTTGGTTTTCCCCTCTTCTTCCTGGCAAAACATTGAATTTTTCTCAGATCTTAACTCTGGGGCAAAACTCATAAAAGAACAAATGCATCCTTAAGATATCCTCCATTCCCTGCTGTAGTTTTTAATTCTGAAGTTAGTCCATAATGAATCTCCAGAAAGTTTCAATTCCAGTTTACAAGCTCACACCAGTATTAATAGCTTCAGCTGTGGGTTTCTGCTCCTGCACTTTTTTTTTTTTTTTGCTGCCTATCTCTCTGTTTTGGACTCCTAATGTGTGTGGCACTGTAGGATAAACACTGGACTGCTAACCATAAGGTCAATTATTCAAACCCACGAGCTGCTTCTTGGAAACCCTATACAGGTTCTCTGTGAGTTAGAAATGGCTACACTGCACTTGAAACCAGCTACTAAGTTTGGGGGCAACATTTTGTCTTGTGACCTTATTTTTTTGATGGATATAAGAGTTACTGTTATTATTTTTATTCAGTTGGTTCAGACTCACTGAAACTCTAAGTGCAACAGAATGAAACCCCATTCGGTCCTGCACCATCTTGATAATTGTTGCAGTGTTTTAACCCATTATAGCAGCCACTGTGCCAATTAATTTTGTTGAGGTTCTTCCTCTTTTTTTTGCCTGACCCTTTACCAAGCATAACGTCTTTTCCCAGTAACTCTTGCTTCCTGGTAACATGTCCAAAATACATGAGATAAAATCTTGCCATCCTGACTTCTAAGGTGCATTCTGGCTGTACTTTTTTCAAGACAGATTTGTTTGTTCTGGTAGTCTCTGATACTTTCAATGTTCTTCATCAACACCACAATTCAAATATATCAATTCTTCTCTGGTTTTTCTTAAATCATTTTCTAGCTTTCACATGCATATGCTGTTGTCCTTAAATGACTTTGAGTGGATTCTGACTAATAGCCACCCTGTTTAAGGGTTCCAAGGAGTGGCTGGTGGGTTTGAACAGCTGATCTTTCCGTTAGCAGTCCAGTGCTTATGGGAAGCTTGAAAATATCATGGTTTGGATTATGTATACTTCAGTCCTCAAAACAATATCTTTGGTCTTTTGCAACAGATTTGCCCAAAGCAATATGCCATTTGCTGTTTTGACTGCTGGTTTCATGGGCATTGATTATGGATCCAGATAAAATTAAATTTAAGCATAGTTGTTGATTTTCAGTTATATATATATTTTTTCTTACTGTGAGGATGGGAGTAATGACTTTGAAGTTCCAACATGTACCAGAAACTGGCAGTTAATGCCATTTTATCTTACCTTTGTGGTAGAACATTGTGGGAAACCATTTCACAGATGAATAAATAAAGGCTAATAAACATTGCAAACATCATACAGTTAATAAGGAACAAAGCTTAAAATAAAATCTTGGAATTCTTAGCTGCCATGCCAATGCTGTTTCCAGTAGGAAATATTATTTTACTTCAGTGATCTCTGGAATTTTGAAACTTCCTTATTGGTAAGCCTATATTTCTTTTAACATAAAATGGTCATTAGCAATTTGACCAGTTTAATTGGCATAACATATGTAACAAAGGCAATGTTCTACATTGATGAGTAGCAACTGGAAACTTAAAAGTTCATGAGCAACTATCTAAGTTGTAACTCTTGGTCTCTACCTGTTGAAAGGAAAGAAGAGTCATGACATTTGAAAATGTTTAGAAACAATTTGTCAAATGGACTAATGGACCACAGGAACATCAGTCTCCATGACTTTGAGACCAGAAGAACTAGATGGTGCCCAGCTACCACTTCCAACTGCTCTGAAAGTAATCACATTAGAAGGTCCTGCATATAAAGGGAGAAAATGTGGAACAAAACTCCTAATAGATCGGTACTCGTGACACTGTGGTTCTTGGTAACCATTCAGGTTTAGAATTAACTTACCCCCATTGCTCAATTTTCAGCTAAGTAACACACAGGTATATAGGAAGGACAACAACACTAGTGAGATACACACACCATAGAATCGTCAACCATTCAAGATCAAAAGGACAGCATTTACATAAGGACAGAATCCAGAAGTATGGAGAAAGAAGAAGGAATGGAAACAAGAAACACAAGGAAGGAGCGGTACAAGTCATGTTACATGTTGCAGTCAGTGAGATGAAATAAAGAGTATGATTTGTTGAATGGAAAACTGATGATCTGCTCTGGAAACCTCCTTCACTCACATCACAATAGAAAGTTTAAGAAGATTTGACAAGTTTAGACAGAATTTTCTAGAATTCATTGTTGTTGTTAAGTGCCATTAAGTTGGTTCCAACTCTGAGACACTATGTAGGGTTTCTGAGGAGCAGCTGGTGAATTTGAATTGTTGACCTTTCAACTCAAACTGACCTTGCAGTCCAGTGCATTATCCCATAGACCCACACCAGGACTCCAAAATGCATTACATCATATATATGCTTTTGCTTTCTTGAGACTCCATGAAAATTAACAAAATGTCTTATATATATATTTTTTCCAAATATTTTAAAGATATTTTTTATGCATTGCATATCGGTTTTGACTCTGTGCTGTAATAAAATTCCTAATTTTTAATAAGATTATTTGTCTTTATACTGTATAGTTGAAATGACTAATAACATTTCTAATCTCACTTTTCCGATTTGAGTCCCCTTTTTGATGTCATCTGATGTTTCTAATTAATGCCACTCCACGACCACTTTAACAACCTGAAAATTCTGCATGTGTATTTAGCATTAAAATTATTTTCCATTAGATAGAATTATTTTCTTTACACTAGACAGAATTCTTCTGGTGGCACAGGATAAAAACCTAACTCTAAGTTACTGGAGTCCTTGTGTGGTGCTGTAAGATAAAGCACTGGACTGTAAGATCAGCTTGAACCTCAAGGTCGGTGGTTCAAATCCACCAGTCGCTTCTCAAAAACCTTACCCAGCATTGTTATGAGTTGGAACAGACTCCATAGAACTTAACAACAATAAAAAGTAGATAAAGCAAAGAAGTTCATGTACTTGGGAAAATGATAGTGGAGAATGGTTGGATCTTGAGGTCTTTAATAATATTGCCTGAGTTTTGTCTCTCTCAGTTTCTTGGCTCTTATTGGTTTCAGTTTGCATGCAGGTTCACTTTAAATATTGAATATTAATAAAGTAATCTCAATGAGGATAATGACAGCAGGATGAGCACTGGACTGTTAACTGCAAGGTTGTTGGTTCAAACTCACCAGTCACTCCTCAGAAACCCTATACACGATGGCTGTGAATTGGAACAGACTCGATGATATGCAACAACCACATAATGAAAGAATGAGGGAGATAAGTTCCTGGCCTCCAAAGGAAATTTAATTTCTCTTCAGGACAGGAATCTGCCATTGTCCCAGTTCAGTCCTTGCTTCTATAAGTAATATGGTTATAAAAGCAAGAAACCAAACAGTTGCTTTCCAGTTGTTCTGATATGGTAACCACAATTGTTGCAAATAGAATTGTTCCATAGGGTCTTCTACACTGTGATCTTTTGGAAGAAGATACCCAGACCTTTCTTCTGAGGTGTCTGTGTGGATTTAAACTGCAAACTTTTCAGTCAGTAGTCTAACACTTAGCCATTTACACCACTTGACTTATAGTGACCTCCTGCATCGCAGTATAACTGCTTTGTAGGATACTTTCTTTTTTATTGCAGTAATCTTTATAAAAGCAGATTGTGAGACTTTTCTTCTTCAGTACTGCTGTGTGAGTGTGAAGCGTCAATTTATAGGTTAGTAAACTCACTGCTGGTAAGTCCATTCTGAGTCACAGAAATACTATAGGACAGAATAGAATTGCTGCATAGAATTCCTAAGACCTCTTCTTTCTCCTGAGGAGCTGTTGGTGGATTTGAACAGCCAAACTTTCAGTTAGCAGCTGAGCTCTTTAACTGCTGCATCAGCATGGTTCCTTCTTTATGTTTGTTGTTGTTAAGTGCTGTAGGGTCGGTTGCGACCCACATCGACCCTGTATAGGGTTTCTGAGGAGCAGCTGGTGATCTTGAACCTTAGATCTTGTAGTTCAAACAGACCTTGGCAGTCCAGCACATTAACCCACAGCTCCAGGCACAAACCTTTGTGCCACACAGTGACTCATAACATTCCAGAATTCTCAGATACTGTATTCGAAAGAAGGAGCCTTCTGTATCACAGGAGAGGAACCTAAGCAATTCTAAAATTTAAAATAGTAAGCCTATGGATTCTTTTAGGAAAATATCTCCTTCTTGGGTAAGATTATTTTCTCACAAGTGACTAGGAGTGAGAATCAGATAATTGAGGCATCATTTGACAAATGCAGGACATTGAAATTGTTGTTCTGCATTATGTGACCACATTTGTGGATGTGGGAACAGAGTATCATGATTGGTAGCTCATCACATGGAAGAGGGAAATGGTTGATTTCCCTAAGGAAGAGATGCTGATAAACAAAATACTAGGTCTACTACTTTTGTTTATTTACTATTCAGTCAACAACTGTTTATTAAATTATTTGCTAGTTCATGGAAGTACTAAAGGAAATACGACCTAAAAACATATAGGCTCTGATAAAGTATTTAAGGGGCTCTCAGATGAAGGAGCTCTGGTAGTGTAGTGGTTACAAATTAGGCTGCTAACCTAAAGGACAGCAGTTCAAAACTACCAGCTGTTCAGTGGGAGAAAGATAAGGCTTTCTGCTCCCATAAAGATTTACAGCCTTGGAAACCCTGTACAGGGTCGCTATGAGTTGGAACTGACTCCACAGCACATAACCACCAGATGAGTAAAGTAATGGCTTTTGTTCTGGGTCTATAACATTTAGTGTATTTATTGACTGATTTTACTAGTTCTTTGCTATTTTCATGTATGCCACATGTAAGAATACTTTTTTTCTTAAAGCTCCCTTGTTACTTACTTTTCTATAATTTCCACAGCAAACTTAAAAGACAGCTATTATTAAACCTATCTTACAGAAGTGAAACCTAAGACTTACAGAAATTGGATAGTTTACTGAAGTCCTCCATCTCTTGAAGGAAAGCTTCGATTTTAACACAGTACTCTTGGATTCTGAGACCAGTGTTCATCCCCAGAGAACATATTCTCTTGGCACTGTATGCCATGTTACAGCACACAATTGTCCAGTTATACCTTATTATATTTGAACACATTCTGTGCAAAAATATGGACACACTACAGTTATCTGTGTTGTTCAGATACAGTGTTTGTCTGTGGTAATAACTATAAAAAGACATAACTTGCCGACTAGGCATAGATCATCTTTTAGGTAGGCAGCTCGGACTAAATTAACCTCAGGATGAAATCAAGTAAAAACGAGTTGTTTATGGAATTAACAAAAACAACATAAATTTACAAAAATCTACAGAGGCTGCAAACTTTTCTTCATCCATGGCTAACAGTATCCCTTAACTTAGTTAACCTGGCTAATAAGTGGCAAAAGTATTTATTGAAATTCAGGTAATTGTTTAGACTCAGGTGGGAGTCTCAATTTATAAGCGAGGGGGGCTTGTTACTCAAAAGAATGGAAAGTATGACTGAACATTTACATTTAGAAATTAAAGTGAGTTGGCACGACAGCCAGGTAGGGATAACATTCAATTTCTTCCCCTTCTTTTATTTCTTGTGTAACTAACTAACTTGTCATGAATTTTGCTGTGAAAAGAAAAGTGTACTTTGTGATTCTGTGTTGATACTTTTTACTTTTCTATCTTGAGTAAGAAGTTTTTTCTCTCCAAGTTCTGGCTGACGATTTATTATGCAGGTATCAATTTGGGGAAAGGCACTCCCCTGTTTCTATATATAACGTGTCTTCTGGCCATAAATGGGAGAGAAGGATCAGGAGCTTGGCATGAAATATTAGCTGTGACCAGAGGTTGGGTAGTGTGGGGAGCTGGGTGGGACAGAGTGTTTCTCCTCTTTGCTATTTTCATTTCTTTCTGGGTAAGTTTCTTTTTCTTCTTCTTTTTCTGATTTATGGCTTTGGGGAAGGAATAATAACTTGTGCAAAAGCCAGTTACACTCAAATTTCTTAACTGGAACTTTTCAAGTTAAAGATATAACCAGTATTCTCCATTATATACATAATCTACTATAGGAAATAAAAGAGACAAACTAGTCTGAGGTCAGTATTTGTTTGATGAGATCTTATGTTCAACTAGTATTTTCTTTACTTTACATTGTCATGATCTTTATTGTTATAATAACCTAACTTCCCATTATAGTACTTTGTAACTTAACTCTGAGTTTTAAAACACTGTCTTTAAGTTCCCCTGAGGCAGTTGATTGATGTATGCAATTTTCATGAGATTCTCTAAGGAAATATAGATTTGAAAAGATATAAAATAAAATAGGATGTTTTTTAAAGACAAAAAAGAAATAAAAATCATACAGTTTAAACCTAGGCAATATTTTATTAGTTTCTGGTTTCTTCCCCTTCTCTTTTCAGGTTTTTATTTCAAAATTTTGGTTTTCTCATAGTAATTTTCTTTTTTTTGAGCTTTTTGATATGCTATGATCCTTCAGAATTTTTCAGCTCAATTCTTCTAATAGAGCCTGTGCATTTTCCAGTCATGGTCTTGAAACTATGAATGCCAGGAACAGATAGTGAAGTTGGATGACTCCACTCAGGAAGCAATGAAAGGATAGTAATGAAGTAAAGGGCAGGTTGTAGAGGATGAAAACGAGTAACTTTCTTTATTTTACTGCCTGACTGCTTCTTACTGGGTAGAAATAAATTAGGAATTAAAGGGCAAGGGGTACAAAAAAATAAAAAAGTGATATTTAATAAACTGAGTCTGGGCTATATTTGGAATAAATTTGAATGAAATTAGCATTGGATTCGGGAGCTTCTTTTCTGCAAACACTGGTAAAATTTGTATGGAATCAAATACTTTTTAAAGTGGTGGTG